CAAACTTTTACCATTCTTTGTATACATTTATATTTTATTTAAAAATCAATATAGAAATGCAAAGGAAAGGGACTTTCTTTGTTGATATTGCTAATGCCCCGGCCTCCTTTTTTTAGGAATGGAAGAGTTAATAAAAATGAAGAAGAAAAAGTTGGAATTAGAGGAAAGACAAGTTTTAGCTCTAGAAAAAATTGCAAACACTCTTGAAAGACTTCAGGATCATCAAGCTTCTCCATCGGAGTTCTCTTTCTCTCTCTCCCGTCATTAAGTTTTAAATAATCTCTACTTTTGATGATCAAATATTTATAGACTTTGCCTCATAGGCTTATTAACTCTACCAAAGAGAACTAGTATATATTGTATGTGTTCACTAGAATGTGGTATTACTGTAAACATGAAATTTATTGTTAAAATTTTCAAAAAATATTAAAAAAAAATTTTTTAATATCTGTTTTGAGGTAATTTTTTTCCTTAAATACTCCCGGTAATATTCATACCATATAAATTTTCTTCTTTTTCTACATACCATTGTGGTAAGGTATCATTTGATTGGATATCATAGAACCTGTGTTGCCTCTGTCATGATGACTTGTGTCAAAAACATAAACTACACCCCAACCAAGGTTATACCAGAATAACTAGAGTAGCTATTAAATTCTTTCCTAAAATATAGATAAACACCAAACAAAAATCACACATATGTATTAGTCGTACTGGATATTTAGTGTTTTTAAGACAGCACTGTTAGCCCAAAATTAAAGCCGTGATGCCAGTTGTTGTCTCAAGTCTCTTGCAGTCTGTGGGACTGCGCCATGGAAGACGGCATTATTCTGTTGGGTTGCTACAGCACCACCTTGTCGCAAAGGAACCTTCGCATCAATTGCCTTGTTATGCAATTACTAGGGAGCATTTTGCTGGTTTGAAAGGAAGGTATCCTCCACTGCGGTGTAAACATCTGTAAAAAGATGGAAACTTTATAAGTAAGAGTACTTGACCCGTACACATCAAAGGTATCATACATTTAAGAATACATGTACATGTTTATGCCAATGATTAACTTACCTGAATCTTGCCTTCAGGACACCAAATGAATGCTCCACTACATTCCTCGTCCTGCAGTGGGCCTCATTATAGCGCTCCTCAGCAGGTGTTGAAGGGTTCCCAAATGGGGTCATCAGGTTATCCTTAAGAGGATAACCCGAATCCCCCAGTAACCACCCCCTCCTGGTAAGTTCTCTAATATCCCGGGAACACTTGAATTCTGAAAAATGTAGGCGTCGTGTGTGCTTCCTGGGAACCTACAGTTGATGTTAATGAACCTACAAATAATTAATATATCACATAAACAAAGAGGATAATAACTCGGAGTTGTAGTTTCCAAACCCTTTATCTGAAAAGTTTTGAATTATTTTAAATTGACATTCTGTTATGCCCATAAATATACTTTGAAAAGATAGTCTTTTTGTCCGTGCTGACTGTATTAAGCCCTTTGTTGAAATAAATGTACCTCATCTTTGCATCCACTACTCCTTGTATATTTAAGGCATGGAAGTTATTCCTGCATACAAAGATAGGCTCCTCCTCTCCACTCATTCCACGTATAGGAATGAGTGTACCGTCTATGGCACCCACAACATTCGGAAATCTTGCGATCCCATAAAATTCCTCCTTCATCCTAGTTAATGTCTGTGCATTACTTGGAAAGACGATGTTGTCCAAGAACTTAAAGCTCTGCACACTCGAGGGAGGAACAAGCTGACTGAAGATTTTGAAATTCCATGTATATCTCCCACTTCTGAGAAGAAATCTCCCTTAGCTAGGTATCGCAGTGTGCACAATACCTGTTTTTTTTTAAAAACAAGAGACAGAATTATAGAATTAAATAATGATACTCTGTATACATAAGGAAATACATGTACAAGTATTTATTCAAAGTTTTACAGAAGAATATTTGATCTTAAATCTTCTCCAGAACAGAAAAGTTATATTTAGTCAAATTGACATGTATATAAGCATCCGCATGTTGTGCAGAATCAATTTTATGCTTGAATCATGATTTGGGGGGGGGGGGGGGAGGGTGGAGATCACCTTTTCCCAAATTAATACATGCATGTACACATGTGTAGGAAAAAATCTTTAAAGCAATATGAGCTGCAACTTTGATCTCGGAATATTTTGTTGCAGAAAAAACAATGTAATTAAACATCTGTTGTTTATATTTGAATGCGATGGAAGAACTATTTATGAGCTTTGATTTAATCAAAATTACATTATTGTCGTCCTGTACAATTATGATTTCTTATATAAAATTGTACATTGGACTGTATATATGGAAGTCTCTTTTCTGCATTAAAATAGTCTAATTGATCATAAAGGTTTACCGTGTATACTCGCCTATAAGTCGGTTGTATTTAATAGACTTGTATATCAGAAGGACTGACCTCATATAATACCATTCATTTTATCGCTCGCCTATAAGTCGGACATAGAGTATTGGACCAGAGATTAACTCCCAAAAATCCGACTTATAGGCGAGTATATACGGTAAGTTACATACAAATTTATCACAACACATTTGAACAGCAATATAAGACTTACAAAAATGCATCTCATATTGCTTTTTTTTCTTTCTTTTCAAGAACGTCAAACTTTTTCATGTATGTTTTATTGATATGGGGGCATTCTCAAGTAGTATAAAATCCCCCCCCCCCCCCAGTAAACTATTCATTACGCAGCTGTTGTGTGTTTTTACTTAGCCATGTGACAGGTGAGTGATGTGGCCCATAGACCTCTTGTTTAGTTGATTGATAGAAGTTGAAATTAGAAAATTTGAAATTATATATTGTGACTAATGATAATACTTTCCTAATAATATCGTGTGTGTCGAAAGAAAGAAAAGAAACAATATATACATCATTTAAAAATCATTTTAAACTACATTAAAAAAAAAAAAAAATTATTTTTTCTGAGTGAAAGGAAATCTTTTTGTATTTCATATTTCACCCATTAAGTTTAAAGAAGCCCCCCCCCCTCCCCAAAAAAAGAAAAACTCACTTCTCTTTTAACATCTACAAGTATGTAATTTTTTTGTTCTTTCATTCCTAATCTTAGAAATTGTTATAATGCCGTGTCTAGAAAATTTTATACATGTACAGGTCTGTCGAACTTTCTCTCCGAAAGTACGATTGATTTCATGAACGGGTGCACATTTTTTTCTTATTAGGGAACTCTTCAAAGGGAGACAATATTTCATCAACTTCCATATTGTTTATATTAGTGATGGAAGTACCTGCAGCTGTGTAGGAATTGAGTGGGACCTATTAGTTACGGGTCCTAAATTGGCATCAACACCGTCAATCAATTCCAGCAGAACTCTCCGAGGAAATCTGTATCTAGAAATGAGGTCGACATCGTCCAACACGTCTAGAGGTTGACTTCTGTCGCGAAACACACGTTCTCTCCGAAGTGCTCGTCGAAGAAAGAAGACTGACGCCATTTTTAATTATGCTACGTATGTTCCTACGGTTGCCATAAGGCACCCGTAGATTTTCACGTAAATCTACGTCAAATCGTAAGATACGATCTTTAGTAAAACGCAAAATCGGCATAAGTTACGGCTACGTCTACGTTTTGACTTACGACCTTTAGTAAAACTGGCTACTGGTCTCTGATTAGTAGAGCTAAAAAGCAGAGGCGGGATCAGTTGCCATGGAGGAGTAAATATCACCTGCTAATCGGCCAAACCCGCCGTGATCCCTTTGTCATGATCGGGAAATGACGGGAAAATCAACTGCATACGTAGTTTATATTTCTCAGCTGATTTGATCCGCAAGATCTTGCTCTACCTATATACAATTTCTAAAACGGGGTAAATAACTAGTGTATTGACAAACAAGTTGATGAAACAAGAGTATCAGCTGTCTCGTTTGAAGTCATCATTTCGTATGTCCTTTAGTCGATACAATGGCCTTGTCAGCAAATACAATATATATCATCGAGTCATGCTGACTAACCTTTATCACACTAATTGCTAGTCCATTATTTAAACACTGTATTGACGACAGATTTTCCTGATCAAGACAAGGAGCACACGACGGATGTGACCGGTCGGCATGGATTCTCACTCCTCCGTGGCACCTGATCCCAATTCCAATGTTTTGGAGGTCCATGTTTGCTCTGCTCCTATTTGTATTGTTTTATGGACTATTGATCTTGAATTCTGTTTGTTATCTACATATGTTTCACTTAAATAAAAAAAATGAAGAGCAAAAAAGGTTTGAATATTTGATTTTCACATGTTTATGAAAATATTGAATCAACATGTTTGATTGAGACAAGTATAGCGTTTGTCTAAGGTACAAATATATGTAAACCCCAAAAAGCCACTGGAAATAATTTGTCAGCTAAACAAGATGTTAACATTTGAAATCTATTCTTGATGCTACGTGTCCACATTGATAATGATATACTGATGGGAGATTTTCCTAAAAAAAGGTATCCATGAGTTGTCAGCCATTAATGTTACATACGGTATTTCAGATAGTTAGTTTTACTGTCTATGTAAATCCCTCTTAATGCGATAAAGAATAGGAATGGGTCTGAAACCCCTACAAAGCTGTCCTAGTACACGGACCACCCTTGTATAAGCAGATCAATCTCCAATTACAGGGCTTTATCAAACTACATTAAAAGATTTTTCGGTGGTATATTTAATCCCCATAATCGTTATTTTGCTATGAAAAGGTTTTCGCTCTACCATATTTCTTATGTAAAACCTTTTAATGAAGGAAGCAAAAGCATTTAATTTCCCTTTTTAAGGTGACGTGTTTAATCAACGTATGTACAATCGAACTAATAAGTACTGCTTTGACTTCCCGCTTCAAATAATTTTCAAAACGAGGTAGTTTTATCAATCCGATTAACGTTTATATTTCCCAACTCTGATTTTCTCCACACACATCAGCCCTTGTTTTTAAAAAGTTCATTAGTCGAAATCAGAAATGACATCTCGTGCACCCACAGGATGGTCAACATCCAGGCGCGCAATGCACTACAAGGCCGTTTTACCCGAAAAAGACGATGGACTTTTTCTGAATCTTCATAAAAAAGTGAGGAAAAGTTTATTACCAAAGGGAAGTCGCGATGAGAAAGATAATGTGAAGATAGCACAAAGAATTTTAGCCAGACAAAGAAGACTGCATGAAAAGCAGCGACAATCTCGATGGAATAACACCGACTCCTCCGATTTGGATTTAATGTCATATAAACCGAATTATGATTCCTCCGTGTCGACTACTGCCGCCAATACCTCACATTTGTTACATAAACGACAAATTTATTTGCCACCCGTTGGCAGGACAACGTGTATGACTTCGGATTTAAGCTACACCTCTGACGACATTGACCGCATAGTGATGAGACTAACAATGTGTGACTTTGCTAGGATACCCGAATCTAAAGGATATGCAAAAATAACACCACAAACCAAACGGCGTGGTAAATTGCACACTTATAGGGAAGTAACGAGTATTGTGGACCGACTGTCGGACTTTGACCAACAAAAACATCCACCCGAATCCCGCGGCGACTCCTCCGCTGTACGACGTATAAAGGAATGGAAAAAACAAGCAATGACTTAAAAACGAATCTGTTTCCATTTTTAAACTCTGAAGCAGGTGATATTGAAAACATTCTTGTACTAGTCAGTTGTGAGTGTAAACGTTTTGTAGCCAATAACTGCAAAGATGCCCAGCAGATTAAAATCAGTACATGTTTAAAGATGTTTTTCGTATGTACCCTAATTCATCCTAACATGATTAAAATAATAGATTCCAATTCTTCATTAAATAACTTTTAAAGGTACTGGTTTTCTGTAACAATTTAGGTAGTTTCTTAGTTTTGTTTGTTGCTTAAGGTCAAGATCTAGTAAATGAATGGTGCCTACAGATTTATCAAACTTGAGAAATAAATTCCTTTATTGATGCTTTACAACTTTAGCTTGGTCAAATAAGGTGTTTCGGGGCATAATTTGTAGGTAATCGAGATGAAAAACTGTATTCTAAATTGTCATTTTCAATGAAAAATTAAGAAAACCAGTCATGAATATTGGAGTTTTTTCCATATTCGACACAGGAAATGTATCCAGATTGCCTACAGTCTCTCAGATAACGGTAATTAGTATATTCATGGCCTCTTGTTTAAATCAATATCAAATTTCATATAGGTATCCGGTTTACTTTTCATATGATTTCAAATTGAATGTCGTGAAAATACCCTATTTTTCTTCATAATTCTGCTAAAGCCGTAAAGTACGGGAAAAAGAAAGTTGAAATTGATTATGACGTCATAATGGATTTAGCACCAAAAAATTAGTCTAAAGTTATTTACTAGATCTTGACCTTTATGTCTCTTTCGATACTTGATCATTCATAATGAAACGCTACTCTGACCATTTTGTAAGTGAGGATTTTAATTTTAGACCGATATTCGGCACTCAGGGCCTCTGTACTGTGAGAGATCTTAGTGTGAGAGCACCTTCTTAAATTGTCTAATCTGATGGACTGAATTTCACCTCCCGCAGTGGGATTCAAACTAGTGACCGAAGGAACAGGTCTGTACCTCGCGACTCTAGAGCAGGTCTAACCACCGCGCCATACGGACGATTCCCCTCAACGATAATTGAACCACATGCTAGATATAATACAGTGTATATCGTAAATTTATTTCGTGTATTATGAACGCCGGTTTACTTTATATGTACATGTATATATACACCATTGGATTCCATTGAAACAATAAAGATCCCTATCGCACGTGGTATATTTAGGACACGCAATTATTTTTTTTATATATAAAGATAATAAAATGATATATTAGATATAAAGATAATATCTCGTTTTCACAAGATAATATCTCGTTTTCAGTAGATAATAAGTCGTTTTCACAATATATTATGTCGTTTTCACAAGATATTAAGTCGTTTTCACAAGATAATATTTCGTTTTCACAAGATAATATCTCGTTTTCACAAGCTAATATCTCGTTTTCATAAGATAATATCTCGTTATCACAAGATAATATCTCGTTTACACAAGATAATAATTCATTATCACAAGATATTATGTCGTTTTCACAAGATAATATCTCGTTTACACAAGATAATTAGTCGTTTTCACAAGATATTATTTCGTTTTCACAAGATAATATCTCGTTTTTCACAAGATATCTCGTTTTCACAAGATAACAAGTCGAGATCGTGGCATATATGAGAAATACTTTCAATGTTTTTTTCGTGTCCTTTTAACTGAAATACAATTTAAAGAATATTTTATAATTTTTTTTTAATAAATCCCTAAAAACTAAGACTTACATGTTTGTGGATGGCAGGGTTACATTTTATAGAGTTCAGTACCCCCCCCCCTCTTTACCCCATCGATGCAACCGTTTCAATTGAATCCCACCGTAGGAGTAAAAGAGTAGTACTTCGGATGAGACCGTATAAACGGAGGTCCCTTGTCGCGGTAGGTGCACCGACACGAAAAAGATCACTCGTTGCTCAATGGCCCTTAGTGCCAAGTATAGGTCCACATTTTCAGCTTTCCATGGCACAGTCACTTATTTCGGTAATAAATTTTTAACCCAGAGTATAATAATAACATAAGGTTTAAGGTTTCTAACTCCGAAATACACGGAGTACCCCCGCCTAAAAGCACTCTTTACACTTTCAGAGGAAACGCACAGGCAGACTGTTTTATACCATTATCTTCTATGATAAATTATATATATTATACACTGACACGCAACAACCTAATTTAGGGGGAAATAATTATGTAAAGTGAAGCATTTTGCATCTTAAAATTATGAATATCTTCAATTTGGTAAACATCGGTAATATAACGGTTGAACGATTTCCATACCATAAACGGAAGTCAAGTTTGAGTCTGCTTAACAGAAATCAAAAATTGCATGTTTAACAAAATATTTGGCAATATTATGGAGTTTTAATGTTTTTTTACTGTTCATTATGAGTAATGCAGCAATATTTAAAAAAATCAACGTTCCTTTCCTTTCCCGTAACGATGCTAAGGTTACTTGAAAATGGCTTATGTACGCATTTCCATTGCACTAGCTGGAAAATTTCAATGTAAAGGTGATGGAGAGTTGCTGATGCGAAATTTCACTACATTACGCCTCAACAGGGTCTTACGTATCATATGAAGGACAGTTCTTGTACCGGAAGTCTAAGGGTGGCTACACTGCTCTAAGTTAGAGAAAATTCGACCTAATCATCTGAAAAACGGGCATTTAAAAATGCTTAAGAATAATTCCTTCGCTCAGATCTCGATATTAATGAACCTATTGTATCGTTGAAATGAAGCTGCAATTGTTGTTTAGGGCAGTCTTGCACGTTTTACTTGAATGGCTGGGATGGGGGAGTTTTAACAGGCATATTTCACTTAGTAAAGTAAACAGATAAACATTTAACATTTTTATCAAATCTCTGATGTTCTGAAAAGTGAGTTCAGCCTTACTTTATTCGCTTTTGAAAATCATAAGATAAATAAATCAAACATTTGTAGATTACTGCTTGTTGCGTTTCTTTTGCGTGTCAGTATATATTGATTTATATTACAAAGTTTTGTGATGAACGTGATTACTTCAACTTCACATTTGTCATCTTCTTTTACTTATGTAGCAATATTCTCTTATCACCTCTTCATATGGTTTATGTATTTCAGTGTTTCGACACGCAAGATAATGCATTACGTTCGAAGTTTTTTAAACGAAGCAAGTTTATGTTAAACGGACTGATGAATCAAGGACATCAACAGTCTCGTTTACACTCGTCATTTTGCAAGTTCTACGGTCGATGTAATGACTTTGTGAGTGATGTTGTACAATCTAAGGTGAAGAAGGTTTCCGCTGAAAATGACGGAGCTGCTCTTGTGAAAGGAATGGTGCTTCCAGGGCAATAAATATCACTGATGATGATGTGTCTGTACATGTGCGTTTGTGACTTGTTGACTGTGATTACTCCATTTTCAGTGTTTCTATTAAAATATCATTTCAATATATTTGTTTTCTGTTTTCATTTCAGTTCAGTCCACTATTTTCCAATCCAAAATTTTGTTAAATATTGGACTGATAGGACAAAATATTAGATTGGTAGGATAAAATATTGGACTGCTTCGATAAAATAATGGACGGACATACTTTAAAGGGGACATTCTTAAATATACTAAATAGAAACAAACAAAAGGTTACGTCACAAAAATGTTTTTAAGTATTTTATAGACCATCACATGTACATGTGTCAGTTCTGAGGGTGTGTATGATTCATGAATTAATCATAGTTTTCGATCATTTTTTTTTTATTATCTATGACTTTTATATAAAGAATATTGCCTTTATATCTAATTTATATTGGATCTAGATTATTTGTTTGACATGAATTTCCGTTTTCCGTTCCGCGTTTCAGCAACATCCCGTTATGACTGATAAATACATGTATTCTCCGAGACATAAAACATACATTCAATGCATAATTAAATGGAATGAGCATATGAAAATCCATGAACAACATATACAGTATAAGTGTATTGTTTAATGTGTTTGTTTATTTGTTAATGTTTAACGTCCCTCTCGAGAATTTTTCATTCATGTGGAGTACATGTATATGCGTGTTTATATTGTCCCTTCCCATATAGGGTACTTGTATATAGTCATTCAAAAGTAAATCTAAAGGATAATTTAAAAATAATGAATTTTTTAAAAAAGAATGCATAAATGTAATATTTGCATATGAATTATAAGCTGACAAAAAAAAAAAAGAATAAGAAAATTGTTATAAAATCTCTTAGTGTTTTATAAGGCGAAATCTGTCTGTTATCGAAATTTGATAAACATTCTGATTGCGCCATTAGCCAGTTGTGTTTACCGGTGCCAACATTTATCAAGTTCACGTAAATGTTAAGCCCGGCTCACACTCCCATGCAATTTTTCATTAGCAATTTAATATGACTGCGTAATCAGGCCTACCGCAATTCAAGGTTTTACAAGGATTAAAATAGTTAACAGCTCTAATATATTGAGGGAATACACTGATTTAATCGAGAAGAAGTTATTTTTACTATATTTTTAGGAGATATATTTGTAGAAAAAATGTTGACCTGCGCGCCAATTGGATGGTCAAGCTATGCTCCTTTAATGCATTACAAAACAGTGACTCCCTGTAAAAGTGAGGTTGGGATGTACAATACTATATACGAAAATGTCTCTAGAAAGTTTCTACCTAAGGACGTTTATGATAATTCTCAGCGAAAAATTGCCAAAAGAGTGCTCAAGAAACAAAAACGTATTCACGAAACGCAAAGGCCCAAGCCTGACTTGCGCATTCGCCGCCATGTTCGAAACCCTTCGAATGATCCAACTTACGCTGCGAAGTCAGACAATGTGTTTCATGAGAGACCTTTCTTCCCGCCGATAAAAAAGAATCTCCCTATAACGTCATATCTACCATACACTCCTCAAGAGGTGAATTCCATTGTAAAACGATTGTCTACGTACGAAAAATACAGAGTTCCAGAGTCACGTGGATATCCGATGCCTTCACCGGAGCCAAGTTGGACAAAAGAAGCCAAAAAATATAATGAAAATGATGTTCAGGAGGTTGTAAATCGTCTGTCGCACTATAATCCAGAATTTCATCCTCCAGAGTCTCGCGGATCTGTTAGAACGCACCTACAGTCACGCGGTACCACAGCTGCAACAAGAGTACAATCCCGCGGAAAGAGTTCACAAGAAAAAACACAGGATAATCCCAAATCGGCGATATCTGCAGTTTAATAGTATGTTTAATATCATCTGTTGAAAGTCTTTACAGGAAATTTTGGTTTACTGTGATACGTGTTTCAGCTTTTGCTTGGCAAATCGTTTGTGTTAAAAAGTGTTCTTCTTTATCAGAAATTGACCCATACCTCTGTGTGACTGTGCTACGAATTCTTGTATGTACCTTTTTGTCTATTTGTTTTTGAACACTCTTCAGACAACTCAAATATAAAATATTTGTGAAATTTCATATTTCCTGGATTAAGTCACCTTTCGTTATATAGAACAGATTTTTTCAGCCTCTATATATGTATAAATTTCTATTGTTTCGTTTCGAAATAGGACTTAAACTGACGATTGTTGCATAAAAGATGATTGTTAAGCAAACTATGATAATTGTTTTAAATTTACCATTGTTGTTAATGAAATTGAGTATGCACTTTAAAGTACTATTTGTTATATTTACAAACAACCTCCCTTTAGTCTATTTCCGCATATGTCTTATCTGAGGGGTCATTGACTTTATATTCATACACAAGTCCCCTAAAAAAATTCCATGAAGTTTTTGTTGTTGTTAAATGAGTGATGAAGCTCTAAACCAAGTAACTAATAAAACAAATGCCTACCACTACATCTTGGTATTATTAAGTGAATTGGGCTGTAAAAGCAATTAAGCGACAGGATTAAATGACAGCAAACGTTAAATCCCAGGCTTAAATGGCTTGTTAGATTTGTTTGACGAATGGCCATGAATTTGATAGAGTAGAATTCAAGTAACTAAAACATTTTTTCACTAGTAACTGTTAATTTTCTATATTGTTATAAACTTTTTTTTACCCTTTCCGCAACAATTTTTGAAATTTGAATCCAACTGTTTGGAGACCCCCCCCCCCTCCAATTTTTTTTTTCGTTTCCCCAAGAAAAGCTCCCTATGTTATCTCCTAGATGGTTTCCCCAATGAATTTTTAGTGGCGAAAATAAACCATTGCAGTCACATAGCAACCGGGGGGGGGGGGGGGGGGGGCTTGCCCCCTCCACCACTTTTTTTCCCAACATTACTTTTACTATTTGAAATGTTCATTGGAAGGCGGTTTGCCCCCCTCCCTCCCCACTATATACTACATGTAATTGATATCAGGGAAAAAATGGTACTGAAAGAAGTTTGCATTGAAAAAAAGTTGCCCCCCCCCCCAAATAGGATTTTCGAGTTTGGGCAATTTTCCCTTTTTTTTTTTTTATTTTGCTTTAAGTCAACAAGCTAATTCAGAGAATTTGTGTCCCCCGCTTAGGGAAAAAGTAAACCATGCGCAGTTCGGGGGGGGGGGGGGCGGATCCCCCAGACTGAATTTGTAGAATTATGAAATGTATACATGTATACTGAAGCAAATAAAATATGCCAATATGATATGAAGATTTGATTGCTTATTCTTTATTATGTGTAATTTGAAGATTCTTTTTATTTATATTGAATATTTATCACACTGTAATGATGATTTTATGAGTTTGTACAAGCCAGACTTCATAAATTTTTCATTTCACATGCTGAATACTATCATTTAGTAAAAACAAGTATTTCGGAAAGAAAGGAAATACAAAGTAGATCATCTGGGATTCGAACCGGGGTCCTCTCACATGTGAAGCGAGAGATATACATGTACCACTACACCACGGAACCATTGTAAAGTGGCGAAAATTATATGTAAACATGAAATCACATACATGTATATATTCACGTTCGATATTGTCAAAATTTTACACAATGCATGGTGTCTAATTTAACCTTTATTAAACAGTTCTAATAGATGTAATAAGAATATAAAGCCCGCCGAGAACCTGTTTTATACGTAATAACTCTCCTCATGCCCCTGTGCTAAAAATAGCGACATGAGATACAATAAATACCCTAATAAAACAAACGGGCGGGACACTTTGAGAGCGGTGAGAGAGGTCCTAGGGAGTTTTGGTATAAAATTACATTGCCAAAGCTCTAAATCTTCTTGAAATATCGCCCGGAAAGGATAGTGTTACACACACACACACAGAATGTACAAATTTACGACCTTGAACTTTGACCTTTTGACCTCAAAATCAATAGGAGTCTTCTTTAGGCCACAGGGAGTTGTTATGTAAAATTTTATTGCAAAAGCTCAAAGGGTTCTCGAGATATCGCGCGGAAACGAAAGTGTTATTACAAACGAAATTTGCGAATTTAAGACCTTGACATTTTGACTTAAAAATTAACAGGTTTCTTCTTAAATCCATAGGGAGTTGCTATGCAAAATTTCATTGCGAAAGCTTAAAGGGTTCTCGAGATATCGTGTGGAAACGAAAGCGATAGAGACAGACAGAAAGGCAGACGGTCGGACAGACCCAAATTAATATCCCCCACTTTCCACTTTTCAAGCGGGGGAAAAAATTAAATTTTCTCTGGCTGCCCCCCCCCCCCCCCCCACCTTTCAAAAACGATGCTACGTGGCTGCATTGTTTGGCCATTTAATTTGAAAGTATAACAGGTGTTGTATAAAACATTACTAAAAGAATCTATTATATGTATTTCTTGTCTTGCACCTATTGTTTCGAGTGGCAATGAATCTTTTCTTCTTTGTTCCACCCAAAACATTTACTTACAAAATAGCACTATGTGAAGCGACTCGAAATCAAAGCCAGATAACTATTTATTCGAAACATATTTTGTGAACACAATAACGAATTCTTAAAGTTACATGATGGGTCAAAGTCATGTGATTCTTTTAAGATATCTGTGTCACAAAGATTTATGAAAGTTGTGAGTATAGCAAAGATATGACAAACTAAACTGTAGAGTAAGAAAAGACTGCATAACTTTACGAACTTGTAATTCAGGGGGGTTTGGTACAAACTCCCTAATCAAGTGATTTTAAAAAGAGCGATAAATTTGTCAACTTTCAAATTGGAGTTTTGACACTGGTCACTATTACTGCACTACCTGTTTACCCAAATCATGGAAATTGGTAATAAGTGCCTGCACTACCCTTCAAACAAAGTAATCCACCCAGTCTTGTACTTAAATGTAATGGCAGTTATTCTGATTTGTCAAGCGTTTTAAAAAAATTAAACACTCCTTGATGATATAGTAAGTACCTAAAAATGTGTTTGTAAAAGATAATAATTCAAATATAAATAAGATACAGACTAAGGTTCATAAACCCTCTGCTCACTCATATAAAACGTTGCTCGAATCTTAATGATTTTCTAAAAGAAATGTATTTTTTGTAAAATACAAACAATTATAGCATAGCTTGCGGGGCAAAATTGGACAAAAAAGACAATAGACATTTATGTCATTAAGAGTTATCTCTCTTATCAGAGTATCAATGACCCTTAATTTCCTAATTTATCGGACAGGCCAGTAAATTTTGAAATAACAAACATTTATTAATGAAACATATGGAGATAACAATCTATTGGAATATACCTTCATCACCTGCATACGGAGTTTATATATCTCAGTATATCTCAGTTGATTCGATACGCAAGGGCATGCTCTACGTATGAACAATTTCTAAAAGGAGGTAAATTATTGACAAACAAGTTTATGAAACAAAAATTTCGGCAGGCTCAGTTAAAGTCATCATTTTGTAAGTTCTATGGTCGATACAATGACCTTGTCAGCAAATACAATTTATCATCGAGTCAAATGTTGACTGACGTTTTTAGCTCTACTGGTCAGAGACAAGAAGAGCTTATGCGATAGTAATGCGTCCGTCGTCCGTCCGTCCGTGTCTGTAAACAATTTTTCAAAATGCTATCCCTCCTACAGTTTTGGTCTGATTTCAATATAACTTAACACACAAGTAGACTATATTAAGATGCATAATTCTGTGCATCGGTTTTTGATGAACGGTGTTGCCGTAGTTACTAAAAATAGAAATTTCTATGAAATGGCATTTAGATAGACTACACTAAGATACATTATTGTCTTTATTTTGTTTTTTAATTTATTTCGATGAACGGTATTTCCATGGTAACTTAAATTGTAAATTCTTTAAAAATTTTCCTACAGCTGTAGTTTTGTTGCAATATTGCCACCAAAAGACTTTATCAAGGATTATTATTCTATTTATTGCTGTTGTCAAGTTTCAAGTCCCAACTGCAACTTTTCTCTTCCTTTGTTATAAGTGTAAACCAGTAGAGCTACAGTCTCGACAGAGACTTCTGGTTTTCATACTAATTGTTAGTCCATTTATACACTGATTTGACGACGGATTTTCCCGATCACGACAAAGAGCACATGGCGGGTATGACCGGTCTGCAGGGGATGCTCCTCCATGGCACCTAATCCCACCTCTGATGTTTTTGAGGTCCGTGTTTGCTCTGCTCCTATTTTGTATTGTTTTATGGACTTTTGATCTGGAAAACTGTTTGTTATCTCCGTATGTTTCGTGGAGATAACGAAAAGTATTCAAGATCAAAAATCATAATCTGTAAAGAACAGAACCGAGACACTTTGAAACTCAAGATTTATATACTCGTATATATTGTTTTTAACATCTCGAGAATTTTTCACTCATAAGGAGCCTCCCCCATTTGCTGTTGAGGGTTGCAAATTTTTACCTGCACTCTAGTTCGGTACTCGGGCAATTTAGCAGTGAGGACCTTTTTCGTGCAAACACCTTCTACGCACAGGCGCTTGTTTCATACAGTGAGCTTAGTTTTCTACTATATAATAACACAAGGTATCCATCTTTCTCAAGACTAAAAATGTAGGTCACCAATTCAAAGCCCTTTTTTATTTATTATACGCAACTGGCAACAAAAAACCCACATGTAATGGTTAGCGGAATCCCCCTTCTTGGACCTCATGTATATTTTCTTACCTCACCCCCTCGCGAACTTTGACATTGACCATAAAATTACACGCTTCGTCAATCGAAAGAAAAAGTACATCTCTAAACAGCTCAGCACTCCCGGTTTGGCAATCGCGATATGATTCACAAGTTCTCATTGGCTACTGGTAATCTCGGGAGTTTTCCATGCAA